TTATCAGTTCACATGAGGTTTACCTTACCCTCCAGTAGATGACATCGTAGGAGGAGACAACCATATGGCTACCTACCCCACCACTGACATGAAGTTATAGTGCGCATGCGCACTTTAATCCCCATTTTAATTGATGTTAACACCCCGACCTATTACCTCCACTATCGTGAGACCACGGCTCCCTTTACCCTATCTATGATAAGACCACGCCTCCTCTATGATAAGACCACGCCACTCTTACCCCCACCTTCATAAATCCACTCATTCCTTACCACCCCATCGAAATACCACGCCAACTATATGACCTTGACAAAGGTCATTACCCCCCCATTGAGAGACCACGCCCCTCCCCCAGACCCTCCTTACCACCACCATTCCTCCCTTTTCCTCCTCTATGATAAGATCACGCCTCCTCTTACCCCATCTATGATAAGACTACGCCTCCCTTGTCTTATCTATGATAAGACGGCGCCTCCATTGCACTATCTATGATAAGACCACGCCTAACTCCTTACCCCCACCCTCATAAGACCACGCCTCTCCTTACCCAATCAATGATAAGACCACGCCTCTCCTTACCCAAACAATGATAAGACCACGCCTTCTACTTACCCCCACCCTCATAAAACCAAATCCTCCATTACCCCCACCATCGAGTGACCACGCCCATGTGTGACCTTGACATTACCCCCACCATCGAGAGACCACGTCCATGTATGACCTTGACATTACCCCCACCATCGAGAGACCACGCCCATGTATGACCTTGACATTACCCCCACCATCGAGAGACCACGCCCACTCCCCTCCCCCGCGACAGGTGGGTGGGTGAAGGGGTGAGGCGGGGGGGAACCAGAATCCCCTAAATTACCCTACTGCTCATATTTTTTAACTTTTGCGAGGCTGTAAAAAAAAAGCTCAAGTCCAATCGATGAGGACTTTTAGTATGTCATTATACATATCTCAATTCAACTTAACAAAAAAAAAAAAATTTGGTTGGGAATTTTTTCCGCCATTTGCCAAAATTACTCCTCCATTGACTGGCCTATATAGGCTATAATATAGAATTACAAAGGCATCACTATACATTTTCATTGGCATTTAATAATTAGATACTACTGAAACTTATAATTAGATGTTAATGAAAATTAAAAATTGTAAGGTTAATCTTTTATTTTTATATAAGAGATTAAACTATCTCATGGAATTGTACATTTTAAATCATTATCTATAGTTGATGTTCTATCCAGAATTTCATATTTATATCAAACAAAACTCTAAATGTTGAGTTCAAATATACTGCAGCCTTAGTAGCAGAAAATAATACAGATGATTATAAAACATATCTATAATAATATAATGTCTACGTCTATAAAAAATAAAGTACAAATTTATGCATAAAATTATACTTAATAATCAACTTATTATTATTTAGTACAAAAGGTATGTAAAATAAAATTTTACAATCATTAAAATAAAACGTGTAATTACTGTGTTAATTATGTTTTCTATTAATATACACAAGGTATAAAAAAAATAATTTTGTTCATATTTGTGTTTATATGTGCGCATTGCCAATATTGTGTCATTTATTCACTTAAAAAAAAAAAAGTTACACGGTCTTTAACTAACGAATTTCGTCGAGTGCTAAAAAAATGTTTCTAATCTTTGCGAATAATTTTCTTATAATAATATTACCGAGTTCTTTCATTAGAAAAAAAAAAATTGGAAATCGATCATCGATCAAACTTTTCCAGATTTGACAAATTTTTCAATGTTTTATTTTATAATACGAATTTTTGTTAAATTTTCTATTAGTGATTTGTTGTTTAATATATAGTAGCCGTCATATTCCATATGTTTTATATGCTTTCATATAAATATATATTTTTTGACTGTTTTTATTATTATATCTATCAGTTACGATAGCAAGAATAAATATCAATAATGTATAGCTCATTAGATCAGATTATAATTTTCTACGGTACTATAAGAACTTAATTAAGGATAATTTGTATTTTAAATCGCAAACAGTTGATCGAATAAAAAATAATTATGAAAACTGAATAGTTAGATATTTTTTTGCTTTCACATCATCAAATTAAATATATCGAATTTTATTAAAGAAAATGAATGTTTAGATTTATTATTTTTAATGGAATAAAAAAAAAGTTAACCACATGTTAGTGTAAAGTTTCTTACGATTTTTTTTTTTACGAAAGTTACAATTTTTTAATAGTTTCGGAGAAAGTAGGTGTCTTACCCTTTGATCACTCTGTATGTGTAATAAATTTATAAAAATAATTACTTTTTGATGTTTAGAGTCTAAAAAAAAAAATTATTATTGATTTATTTTAGGCTCATACCCCCTCAAAACTACAACTTTATTCAAAATAAATCAATTAAAATACTAAATACTTTATTCCATGAAGGAAAATGGAATCTTTTGAATTACATAAGAATAAAAGTTGATGAAAAAACAATCACTGTTAATCGAATTGTTAGAGACACTGTAGATAATTTTAATTTTAATCTAAAAAAAAAATACTTTACACAACTGATAAGGTGCAAATATAATGAATTATTGAAAAATTATAACACGTATATGTCTGCTGTAATACGATCATGCAGATATGAAAATCAAAATTTAAATGGCTTAAAAGATTGTATTATTCGATTTTTGTGTGAAGTTAAAAATTCAAAAGAAATGTTTAAATATATGTTGTTAGCTTTAGATAAATTGAAATCTGCATCAATTTGGGAAGTGACGCGTAATTCATATGCATGTTTAAAGCAAACTTATGATTTATTAAGAAATTTTTTCCCTGACATTGAACATCTTAGTTTAACGAGTAATGATTTTTCCGATCTATCTCCCGCTGAACAAAAATTAAAAGCTAACGATTTCTTATTAAATTTCCAAAAAGCACGACATAAATTTAATCGAGTGTTTATAGAAGGACGTTTTAGTATTAATGAATTTTGCTTGATTGATGGTGAATTTTTAAAAAAAAATGACTTACTATTGTCATGGAAGATTATGGCTATGTATGATAATACTAAGAATAATATCACAAGTCCAATATGTTTGTATGAATACGCTTTGGATCAATTTAGAAAGTTTTGTCAAGATGCTATAAAAAGTGAATACGATTATTTAGGTTTCAATAAAATAAGTGATTAATTAATATAAGTAAGTAATTAATGAAAATCTTGTATTTTTATTTTATATTAAATAAATGAATTTGATAAAACATTTACTTGTAATTGTTTTGTTATAGAATTTATTTAGAAATGTTTAAATTATATTTTTAATAACTATTACGATTACGAATTTGTCAAAATATTTTCAGATGTTTTAAGATCTTTTGATCTGTCGTTGAAAATAATTGGTCCACTAAGAGTTGAATAAATAAATGACAGACACAAAAACAAAAAACACACAGTAATATTAATACATTTACACAAGGGGTAGCTAAAGTGATGGGGTGATTGAATTTTTTTTAAGTTATATGAGTTGAATATTCAATTTCATGGATAAACGGTACATGTATAAAATGTTAATAAAAAAAAAAATTTCATTAATTCACACACTTTTCAAAATATTATAGCAGTTTAAAGTCGAAAATAAAAATATAAGATTGACAGTTTCAAAACAAAAATAGCATGTTTTTGAATACCGTATTCAAAAGCATTATGTAAAAATGACTACCGTAGCTGTTACTCTTATAACTCTTTGTGCCAAATTAGCTATTATAGTTTCTCCTTATTATGCAAGTAAAGGGTTGGATTAAAAAAAAATTAAATACGCCTAAAAAGGTACATATCTAAGGTATTTATTGAAAAAAATATGTTTAGCTTCATCCACACAGTTACGGCAGTTAAAAAAAAAAAAAGGTTTTAAAAATGTCAAATTTTACCGATTTTAAAAATCATAATTTTTGATAGAATTTCCTTCATTTATGGGGAATAAATGAAATTTAAAAATGTTTTAAAGTAATGTCATGAAATAGATATGATAAGATAGATCTTATGACGTATTGCTCATCAAAATCAGTTCAGTGAGAGCTGAGAATAAAGGGTAACTGACATAAAATATAAACTCATCATAGTAAAATCAATATTTTTTCAGCTTCGCATCAATGATATGTATAAAAAAAATAACACTGTACAATTTATGTGTATTTCTGATCACTATAATATTGAGGGGAAAGAAACACCCAAAATTAATGCGAAAATAACTACTTTTATATTTCACAGTGTTTTACTTATTATACCATTCCAAAACTTAAAAAAATAATTATTAAACAAAATAGTCTACTGATTTGAGAAAATTATTGGTAAAACTTGTACCACAGATAAGATAAGACCATGTATTGGCTTTCTATTCAAGACTTGTAATTCTCAAAAGTGTAAACAAACCAAAACTTGCCTTAGATCACTATAACCACTCATAAATGTTACTGTTTTGAGGCAGATTTGAGTTATCAGTTAATCAAAAAGTTTACCATCTGAGTTTATCTTATCTGTGCTTTCATATTAAACTCAACAGAATCAAAAAATTATTACTTTTGGATCAAAACCTACTCTAAGCAAAAAAAAATCTGGAACATTACTAAATAGACATATAAAACGACTACCAGGCTGTCAAACAAACATCGTATGGCTAAAAAAGATCCAATCCGTACAAACTTGTAAACATGCGGCGTACATTAAATTGTGATTACATTTAAAACTCTGTATCGTGTGATCCTGTAAAAAACAACATCTCAATATATATGGAAGAATCGTTATGAATCATTACCCAAGTGTAGTGAAAGCCTTTTCAAATTTTTAACTACATGCAACCTAACTAATCAATAAAATATAACTGTACACAAATACTTATACAAAGAAAACTTTTATACCCTTTTAAATATTTTTAAAAAATGTTCATTGTAGGCCTTCGATGTCAATGCTTTCCCTTCTTTTATAAAGCAAACCAATTCAAAGCATTTTTTCTTTGTTTATTTAATTTTCAATTTCAAAATTATTTATTTATTATATTTATTGATACAACACCCCAAACAATTGCATTACGTATAGTAATTAATATATATTGTACTCCTTATTATTTCATAATAATCAACTTTTAGGATCAAAAAAAATAAGTTAAAAATATCATTTTGAATTGAATTTTTACACGGAGTATTTTTAACTTATTAAAAATTAATAATAACTTGATATAAACATTAAAAAAAAAAAAATTCATGCATTTTAGAATAGAAATAATCTCAAAAGAGAGGTGATAAAAAAATCTAATTTCGGACTTGAAATGAGCGTAAAAATTTGCTTAAGTAAATTGTATATTGGTCTATGATCATTAAAAAATATATTATTTTAGTAATTTGATTTTACTGTGTAAAACAAATTTTATACTCCTATTAATTTGAACATATTCAATTTAAAAAAGGTTTTTTGAAGTGGCCATTTTTAACAGTACTATAATTTTGAGATATTTGTCTAAATTTTTAAAATTAAATGATTTTTTTCATTATTTGAATATTTAAAATAACTCAAACAAAAATTAAGAAAAAATTCAACAATTTTATTTCGGCGGGCGCATTTGAGCATATAAAACTGTAATACGAGGTGTATTCAGAAAATAACGGCAATTTTTGCGTTTTTTTAAAAATATATTTATGGGATGCGTTCTGCTTATTAAGCTATGCGCTTTTAATGACATATATGCTTGTAAAACGACGGCCCTCTAAAGTTGTCTTTATTTTGGAAATAGAAAAATATTGTACGGGGCCATGTCTAGCGAATATGGAGGCCTAGGCATCGTTACAGTACAGTGATTTTGGCCAAAAATTTACAAACAAGCAAGAAGTGTGACCAGGTGCATTGTCATGGTGCAAAAGCTATGATTAGTTTTGCCACAAATCTGGCCGATTTTTACGGATTCTTTGATGTAATTGGCATTTAACTTGTAAGTAGTACTCTATATTGACCGTCTGATCACAATAAAATTGCACTATTCATGATGCATTATGTCATTATAATCGAAGAACACAGTGATCATAACTTTCATATTAGGTCACACCTATTGAGTCTTTTTCGATCTTGGCATTCGTCGTCGACTTCAATAAGTGATAATAAGCTTATCGGCTACAACTAATAAAATAAAAAATGAATCCAGCTGTAAATTTTATCATACTTCAGGGCAGTAGTAACATTAAGAAAAAAAAAATTTATAATCAGACTCTGCAAACCCGCGAAATATAAAAATTCCGCTAATTTCTGAATTCAACTTGTATATTCGACGCAGTCACAGTGCATTACACGAATTTTTAACTAAAAAATACAATTTAAGCTATTTGGAAAATTAAAAAAAAATTTTCTTAACTTTAAGAAGGAAAAATAATCAAAATAGGTAAATTTATTTTTAATAAAAGTTAGATTCATGTAAATTTTATAAGAATTGATGGACTTATTACTATGGTAAACCCTTATAAGATACTTTAAAATAAACAAAAAATAAATAAAATTTGAATACAAAAATAGCATGTTTTTTGTATTCTACAGCAGCTATTTGCACATGGGAGATAGATCATCGGAGCAAAATTATTTTTATATAATTATAATTATAATTTATTTTTTCAAAAAGTTATGACTTTTTTAAGAAAAGAAAAACGAAATTTACCGATTTTAAAAATCATTTTTTTTTTTTGGAGATTTCTCTTATTACACAAAATTAAGGAAATTTTTCCAATTTTTGATGTTAATGTCTCCGGCTAGATACGATTTGTGATCTTTTGACGTATCGTTTAGAAAAATCGGCCCAGGGTGATCTATGAAAAAATTGTTTCAGACACACAAAACAAAAATAAACACATGTTAAAATTAATACCTTCTCAGCTTCTCATCGAATCTAAAATATATTCTTTTAACGTATTCTAAGATGCCGATAATTATAAAAAAAATTTAATGAAACCATTATTGTATTAAAAGTTATAATCGTTATAATTTAGATCTGCTCCACTTGGTATATGGTAAAAAATTGATCGCAAGTATATATTATAACATAATGTATATGATCATTACAAGAAGTTATAAATATTTTATTCATATGATACTTATTAAACAACGAAAAGTATATATTAGGCTACGTTTATAAATAAGTAGGTACCTTGAGGTAATCATATTTTATTAAAATATGTTTGCCGTTTCACGTCAATCAGTAATGACAGAAGTTTATGGAAAAATGGCGCCACCTAAGACAGTTCCCATGAAAATCATTCAATTGGTAACAAGCGTTTCTAGGAAAAAAACAAATAAGTTTCCAAGACGACATTGAACCATGATAGTTTGACTGCATGTTATTGTCATAACAATAGAAATCCAGTTAAATTGTAGATGTTTTCATTGTGCTATACATTGGTAATTTGATTATCACACTTTTTATACATTAAAATATAATAAAAAAAAAATAATAGTATTATCATGCCAACGATTTGGCGTATCGAAACCATTTTTTCTTAACTCAATTTAAAACTCTCCAATTAATTCGTATCCTTAACTAGCCAAGCATAAATATTAACTTTTAGTTAGTTTGATTAGCTTATAAATAATGGATGTACTTCAAAACAAAGAATTACATTTCAATTAATTAATTATAATTACAGATTACAATTCCTCGTATTTGAAAGAAAAAGTTCTAAAGCAAATTTGTTCACTTTTCAAAGTAATTTTTTTTAATAACCTCTCATTAGGAATGTTTGATACTTTGACTGTGTGTATAGAATGAAATTTCTCCTAAAAATGAAAAATTTAACATGAATTTTTAGTTTTTTATGAAAGTCTTTAAGTTTTAAGTAATTTTTTAAAGTCATTGATATTTTAATTAAATTTATAAATTTAAAAATCATATAAATTTTGGAGATATTAATTTTATTAAATAAAAGTAATGTTTTTTAATTTTTTTAAACTGTCATGACTTTATAAATCTAAGGTTTCATCAAAGACATTGACTGTGTTAACATACAATTTCATTTGTAGCGGTTAAGTAAACGCATGTTTATATTATAATTAAGTTATAAATATACTAGATAATATAAAAAAAATACTAGACCTCGAAATATTCATATGTTTATAAAATATATGATACCCAAATATATATGTAAGCTAACTTTACAAAATAGACACAGACTCTAATAATGCGGAATAATAGATATACATTTTTTTTT